TCAAGCTTATGCTTTTTGAAATCTTGTAAGGCTGTTCTAAACAACACGAGTAGCAGAACCAAGAAACAGAACATCTGAAGCCTATCTGTGTTGGCTCCTGTGTGACCTTACCACAGGGTGTGAGGGAAGGAGAAGAGTCCTCCACTTGCAAGGCTTTCTCTCTGTGGTTTGGTGTTCAGATAATGAAATAAAAATAAGTGAATGCTTTTAGTTACTATGTAGACCTGCATATTTATAGCTTTATGAACTACTGTTGAATGTTCAAAAAAGATGTTACAGGCTAATTATATGTAAGTTTTCTTCCTGAAGTCCACCAAAGATTGCAGGTGAATGTTTAAGCTGATTATTTTAATTGGTTACAGAAATTTCTCAGTTCATTACAGGTGACTCTCACTGTTAAACTGGTTGTTCTTTTTGTCTAGTTTTAATACTTCTGGTGAAGCTTTGCTGTGACTTCTCCCCCACTTTTCTTTGTCCTTGTATTTAGGAAGAATTTTAAACACAATCAAACTTCTAGAAATGTAGGCAGATATTCAAATTTTTTTTTTAGGAAATGTTAAATGAATAATTCTATCTGGAGGTTTTTCTACTTATGTAGAAAGACATTGTAAATGACATTTGTCCTCTCCTTAAATGAACAAAGACTTAAAGTTTTTTTTGGTTTTTTTTTTTTGGACCTCATACAATAAAAGAAAAATAACAGTACCATTTAAATTATATGATCTTTATATCCTACAAGAAAGGTATTCTACATGCTTTATTCAGGTAAAGCTTCCTCTGGCTTCCAGGGAAGCCTGGGCTAGTTAAAATTTGGCTTGTGTTCATGGATTAATATCCTCCTGATAGTAAGCATCTCTAAATGATGTTTTCTGAAATTATATCGCTCTTTTGGGATGCCTCACTAACCATGGGCAGTGATCCTACTGCTTTTACAGCATGTTGTAAGCCAGACACTTACAAATGATGTTGGAAAGGCTGAGCCAGTTTACCTCTGTAATGCAATTGCAGAATCTTTCTGAAGGTTTAGCATTATGATAGTTGTGTAGATACAAACCATAGATTGAGAGAATTAGGGAGGAAAAAAAAAAAAAACAAGTTAGAAAAAAAAAAACAATTTATTAAGTAGCATCATATAAATAACTTGTTACAAAAATCAATTTGCAAAAAGGCAAATTCACTCTGTTTGTGAGAAATTGTTGTTCAAATTGGTTTCTCATTAAATCCTTAGTCCCCCTGCCCTCCGCCCCCCAAAAAGAAGCCAGTACAGTGAACAAGAAATATTAGGGAGAGAGCGCACACTTGCCATCTGACCATAACAAACTGCCCATTCACGCTGCAGAAGAGGTGATGGTTCCAGCATGGATCCCTCTGTAATACAGGGAAGCTTCTAGGTGTAAATCTCTTGGGTGCCAAAAATATTATTGCCCGCAAACGTTCCTCCTTGATGACCAGGTCCATCTGATGCTGAGGCTCCTCCTACAAGAGGGGACACATTGCGAGAGGCTGTGTAGCTGGGGCATACCAGCAAGTAAATCTTCCCAGGTCGTGGCACTGGTTTCAATTTATTCTCGGATGTATTTTTAATTAAAAAAAATCAATACCGAAAAGCATTTATTTTAAGGGTTTAAAAATCACAAATCGCAATAGGAGTTTGCCAGATTGATTTAGCTCAGTAACACAGTTAAGATGCACATAGCATTTATTATAAGGCCTTTTTTCTTTTTTTTTTTTTTTTTAAGTTTAATTTTCAAAGCAATGAAAGTAATCACAGAATTGAAACAGTACAGTGATTCTGAAGAGTTTTTATATGTCAAAATCCAGAACAATTTCATGTTTTCACTGTTGTTTCTTTGTTCTGTTCACCTGAATGCTTAATAATACTATACATTTGTTCCTTTAATAAACACTAAGGTAATAGATTGTAGAAAACTAAAAGCTTATAGAAAGTGTCTCCAGGTATATTTACATAAATAGTGCAGTCTCATAGGAAAGGTCAAAAGCCCATGGGAGTGGAAAGGATTAATCTATGTGTGAGACTTACGCCTTCTTAGTCAAATTAACTTTGTGAAAGGAGAAATGTGAAGTTTGCAGCTCCTTTTTTTTTTTTTCCTCTTCTTTTTTAAAGAGAGAAGACATGCAGAAAAAAATAAGAGCAACTTCTGTAAAAGCTCCTTTGAAATCTAGCAACTTTATGTATAATGTGACAGCTTTGTGGCTTTTAAGTGCCGTGGGCCTGCCTTGCATGTGAGTGATTGCCTCCCCCCAATTCCCACCCTGTGCAATTCATTTTCCGTTCTTCTGCCTGAAACTCTCAGCTCTCTGACTCTTGAACTCCTTGTAACCCCAGACAAGGCTTTTGGATACCTCCTGCTGAATTTATGAACTGTTCAGGGAAGTGTTTCATATATGATGAGTGTAGGTCTGGGCTGAAAAGTACAATATTGCAAAATGATGGGCAGGATCAAGATTGTCTCAGCTGTGCCTAAATAAAACTGCTGAGAGAAAAGACTGGCATTAAAGCGTGGAGTTGGCTGCTGTGTTTTTCCTCTCCTGGAGCAATGCAGAAGGCTGTAGGCATTAAATATACTTTTGTTCTTCATCTCTCTTAAATAGAGAAACAACCTCTAAGGAAACAAGTCTAATAAAGAAAAATATCATGGAATCACTGAATGGTTGAGGTTGGCAGAGACCTCTGGGTCCATCTGGTCCAACCCCCCAGCAGAGCCACACAGAGCTGGGTGCTCAGGACCGTGTCCAGGTGGCTTTTGAAGATCTCCAAGGAGGAGATTCTACATCATCTCTGGGCAACCTGTGCCAGTGCTCTGCTGCCTGCACAGTGCTCAGTTCTTCAGTTGTAGCTCTGACATTTACTGGGGAGGTTGCATTTTCACAGGTCTTGAGGGCTAGAAAAATACCCTGCCTTTCCCAACTTACAAAACAGTTCGTACTCATCAGAAATAGGATAACAATTGTGAATTTGTCAGCTCTTATTTGACAGAGGAGCTCAGACTGCAGTGTTAATTAAAACACAAATGGGCAGGGGATAGCAACCCCCAGTTGGGATAGTGATCGTGTAAAACAGTTCAGTATTACTAATAGCCAAATGAAATATGGAGAGATTTAAAACAGATGGTGGCAGGAAGAGCTGATAGTGTCCACAGAAGTCACCTGCTCAGAATCACTGTCCATAACCCACTGAAAAGAATGCAGAAGACTATCAAGTTAGATCTGGTGCAGAAACTTAGCATGTTTTAGTAATCATCATGAGAAAGGGTCTGTCTTCTCTAGAAATTTGCATGGAAATAGCCTTGATTTAATTTGCTTTGTCTGAGAAAGATGGTGTCTGTCTTGCTATCCACGCAAATCAGCATCTGGCTTCTATAGGCAATCTGGAAGCGGCAAAGTTACTGTGTACTGTTGTCTCTGATCAACGTGGATAAATCAGACTTTGAAGCATGCCTAGCTTCAAAATTTCATTTCTCTCCTTCTTTATTCATACTGTGTACACACATTCCAAAAGTCATCTCTCTCTGCTTTACTTCTTTGTGACTGTTGAATTTTTGTAGGATTAGAAATGTCCAGTTAATGTTTTTTGTTAGTTTATTTTTGTCAGAGAAATGGAAATATTATGCCTTTAATGCAGCCTATTGCTTCCAAAACTGGATCGTTTGCAGGCTGCCTTTCCCATTCCCATTCAACAACTATGAAATACCTTTCCATAGGATGAACTAAGGCCTGGCAGCTAACAAAATTAAGAAATGTTAGAAAAAAATATGTTGTTTAGGACAAATATAGAAAATACTGGTGTTGGTACATGTGCACTGTTTCTCTTCTGCTTGGGATCTTTCTTAGACATCTTTTACAAGCAGTGTCTGGAATGCATAACTTTTTTTTTCTTTCCATGATTGGATAGTGTATCTGTCTGGGAACACATTTCAGTCACATAGGTGAGCTCTCAGGAAACCCCCAGATTCCCTTGTTCAGAGCTCACTGCAAATTTCTATCTTGGTTCTACTAAGATACTAAGGCTGGTCTACTAAGGGAGATGTCCTGGCACAACTGTGTTGGCAGCATGTCTGGGAGCATCTGGTTTGCTGTATCTCCCCATACTGTTGCTGCTGTGGGACAGACTGATTCTTAACTTGAAACAATCATTATTCTGAGTAAAAAATCCATTTTACAGAATACAGTAGCTGCTCTGGGAGTTGGGGTGGAATAGCTACACTAGAAACCTTATTCTATCTCAAGTGTAGAGATGATATTGTTCTGCGACAGAAGAGCTGGAAACATCCCCCATGTAAGCAGGTATCTATTTTATGTTAACTCCACTGAGTTCCTTGGTAGCTTTTAATAGCTCCCCTGTTGTTAGAACAGACACTTTTCCAAGTGAAAAGCCAACTTCATTATTCATCTCTGCCTGGCTTGGCTAAATTTGCTTATAATGTTTATTCTATTCAAATGGGTGTGGTTCTAAGAACAGCAGGCTTATAACAGCCTTGAAACTCACTTCATAGCCCCTAATCTAACACTTGCTGATCTATAAATGACAATTCTAGCATTATGTGACAGTACTGTTAAATACTCATTTCTATCATCTAGCACACCAACATGCAACAAGGTGCAAAGAAACACTACTGCAAAGTTTTGTATTCACTGCAATATGGCACTTTCAATATTTAATATGCTGTACTGACTTTATAAATTGCACTTTGTGGTACTGCCAAGCAAGAAGAAAAGACAGAATTGAATTTTTCTTGTGAGAGATGCTAAGTCTGTCTAATTTGCAGGAAAAAAATAGACCTTAAGACCTAGATGCATAGTAAAGAATTTGGATGTGAGTTTGCCTTGAGTTTTCCTAGGAGAATCCATTTGCTATTGAGACAGCATATTATCTGTGGTGACATTACATAATTTTATATATTATACATTTACACAAAAGGCATGAGCAGCCTCTCTATTACATATTGGGGCGCTCAATGGACAAGATAGAGCTAGCTTTCATCAGGAAAAGGGAATAGAAAAAAAAAAAAAAAAAGAGGAGAGGAAAAAAAAAACAAATCACCAGATCAGACCAAGTCACTGTACTGACTTGGTGGAGGTGCGTGGTTCCCCCTATTGTGTTAGCTCCCTCAAGAACTAACGCAGGCAGTAATCATAGGGGACCACTCCTGTCCCAGCTGCGGACATGTGACAGCAGTCCACCCTAAACAGTGAGTAGAGGGTGGTTAGTGGGGCCAAATGCCTGTGAACCTGCAAGCCTGTAAGGCTTGGCAGCCATCTTTGCTGTCCCCAATGGTCTGAGGGTTAGGATTCACTGACTGGCTCTCAGCATCCAGCTCTACTCTGAGCGTGTGATTTGCTGCAGGCAGCCCCATGCAGAGGTGGGCAAGGAGCAGGTCTGTGGCAAAATGGTCCCCTGAAGGGTGCAGCATCTGCAGCAGCTGTATGAGGAGAGTGGCTCGTACTGAGGAGCCTGTGGCAGGTGCTGCTGAGCTCCTGCTTCTCCTCCCACGTGTCTGAAAGCCATTGAGGAATCAGGTGGTTCTTCTCCTGTGCCAGAACCAGGTTTTGGGCAGGTTGCCTACAGGATGCTCTGATTTCCAGGAGGCCACAAAGGGACAGGCTTTCAAAGGCTTTCATAATCACAAATTGTGGAGGAGAACTGAGGAGAACAGGAAAACAGGAGAAGGGCCTAGCTGTGTCACTGTCATCGTTTGGGCTCAGCCCCACCATGCATTGGAGCATCTAACCCAAGGCAGGCTGGGGGCTCAGCTCCCTCTGAAATCTTGCACTCCTCTGCACTGAAAACCCATCTGATCTACAATGTGGTCACCTACAAAGCACCAGCTGCCTTTCCCTACACCTGCAAACACGTAGTGCCTCCCACTGTGCTGCCCTTCCCAACACTGCTGGACACTGCAAAGCAATTCACTTCTCTGAGCTGCAAGTGGGCCCACAAAATCAGAACTTCTGTCATCGTGCTTGGATGTGTCTAAAACTCTGGAATCTTACCATTCTCTTTATTTATTTCTCTGAAAGTAATGAATTCCAGGGATTAATTTTTAATCCCTTTTAATTTTCTGTTTATTAACTTTTTTCCCTCATCTTTTATTTTTAGAGTAAATTGGAGCTGTTTAAGTTTTCAAATTGATTCACTAAAGATTTGAGGGGGGAGAAGAAAGGAAATAGATCCATGCCTGTAATTCTACTATTAAATACTGTTTCAAAATTAAGTACATGAGATCAGTTATTTATGAGGTATATTAAAAAAAAAAAAAAAAGAAAATCCATCTTCCCTCAGCGCTCTGCTTTAGGCCATGTCCCTGTTTTGGGACCCAGGAGGGCTTTCAGCTCCTGGAATTGGATATGTCTGATGGCTACCCCTTTGGGTTTTTTCCATCTAGCCTCTCCTGGATGACTGGGTATAAAGAGCAGCCATAGTACAGGTTTGACAAACCAAAAGAAAGAGCAAATGGTACACAAGCTGTAGAGGAAATTGTTCTGGCTTGAGACTATGACATCTCCCCCGGCTCCCACCGCTGGACAAAAATTACTTAGCTTGGCAAAGCAGATAAGCACACCCACTGAGAGACTTGTGATTAAAATGTCACCTTCTGGTGAAGTCTTTAACAACGCTGGCTGAGTAGTTTATTAAAAGAAAAAGAAAAAAAAACCCACCAAAGTTATATACCCTGCTTTTCAGTACACTAGAATGACAATTGATTTTTGCTTATTTGTGCATTCAGGGCTTGAATCTGAAGGGGGAAGGCAAAAAAAATGCAAAAAAAAGCATAAGAAATTACTTCCTCTGGCAGAGTGCCAGCATTTTCCATCTGTAAAGCATTTTCTGAGTGACTTATCTAATTCTTGCAACATCCTGATGAGGTAGGCATTATTTCCCTACTGTACAAATAGCAAAAAACTGGGCAGAGTCAGTGAGAAGCCACCCTGGGCTGCCACCAGGGGAGCTCAGGACATAGAAATTCTCTTCTCTCCTTTGCAGTTTCTTCTTTTGACTCAACAGTCAGCAATGACCTTGGAGCTACAACAGCCCTCCTACACTTGGGAACAGGCAGAAGTAGAAAAGCCTGAGCCCTGCCTCCCCAGCACAGTGGCCTTCACCACTGATGTGCATGTGGAAGCCATCGCAAATACAAAGAAAAGCACAGTTACTTTCTGTTCCTTCCTCCAAGTCATGGTCTAATATGGAGTCTAGGTTCCTAGAAGCCATCTAAGAACAAGATACTGGGGCTACTGACCGCACACACATGCATGCACTCACATCTCTCCAGCAATGCTAGGTCAGAAGAATATATACATAGCAGTCAATGAACTATATATATGTGTGTTAATACGATTCAGTGCACTGGGGGCAATGGCAGGTTCTGAAAAAACACTTAGATTTAAATGACCATTAGGCCTCTCTAACTTCCTCATGAGTAAAATGTGTTGGATGTTTTTTCTCAGCTGACTCTACTTTGTATAATAAACCTTCATTCCATCAGCACTACTTTTGACTATAATACATAGGTTAAACTAGGGTACCTCATTACATTGGGATGTGCAATACACAATCAACAGAGCAGTCATCTGAGCTGAATAATCTGAATACAAGTAAAAAGAGCAAGTGAGCTTAAACAGTAATATACTCCAATTTACAATATAAGCAGAACAAGTAAAAATATTGCTCCCCATCTGATCTTTTTTTTTTTCCCCTCCACCACTGCTGTGCCTGTAAGGTTAGCTTGATAAACTTGGATGCCCTAAAAAATAAGAACTTTGCCTCTTGGAAGCTCATAAAATGATACTAGAAAAAGTTTTCTGACAGCTGATCCACACTGCAGTCATTAGACAACTGGAACCGTTCGAACAGAGAACCCTTTCACAGAGCTGTGGAGAAATAGAAAGAAATAGCCACTTCACGTATCTCAATGCTGTTTCTGAAAATGAGGGAGGGAAAAAAAAGGCAACATATTAAGAGTCTTTGTCACTGTCCATTGAGCCATACATATCTGCCAGCTTTTTAAACCGCGGCCCCCAGTCACTGAGGTAATCATAGTCCTGGTCTCCATCTGTGGTCACCGACTCCAAGGAGCTGAGGGACTCTGCCACAGAACCATTACCTTCATATGCGTAGGTCGCTAACGAGTCATACGGGGGGGCTGCTGGGTCTGTATCATTCTCCTTTAACCTTTGGTTAATGAAATCTCTGACATCCGTGTTATCTCGGGCTGTTGCAGTCCGCCGTGGCATAAAAAGCGTTTCTGGCACAATGTCTCTGCGTAATTTATTATCATCTATGGCTTCGGGATTCCTCAGCGTGCCGATATCAAATGCCTGGGTGTCTTCCTCTCCACCACCTTCATCATTATAACTGACAATGTTGTCTCTGATGTCTTCTTTGGAAATAATCAAAGGCTCTTTTTTCCTTTGCCGTCTCAGTGCTGCAAACAACACCACTGTAACTGGAAAGAAAAACAGGGGAGAGAGAAAGAGAAAAGTTAATCCCCCAGCTCCATTAAAACCCAGATGAAGTGCTGAGCTAGGGCTTAAATTCTAAGCTTGAAAAGATGTTTTGCAAAACTGCAAATGTGTTTGTCAGGTTTTTAGACTATGCTTCTTCTGCTTGTGAGCACTGTGAGAGATGTTGTGGCATGAGTGTGCAGCAGACAAAGGAGATGTCAAGCTGGTAAGAAGCTGAGCAGTGCCTTCTTGTCAGCAGGCCTATTTTTACCCAGAATTATATAGCAACTCTGTTGCTTGGAGAACAGAGGTAGTTCCATGAGAGCTGGGAAGGGAGAAACACCTGCACCAAAACTCGTTATATATGTATTATATACCTTGAACATCTGGGCTGAGATGAAACTTATGCTAAGGACAAGACTAGTGTCTACTGGGCTTAACAAAAGGTTAGCAAAGGTGTACTTCAAGTCCTTCCTTCTCTGGAATAATTTAGGATATGGCATGGATTCTCAACTCACTCCAAGTCCAAGTTTATTTCATTAACTTTCCTGGCACGCTTTTACAATGGACACCATGTTTAAAAGTGTATAGCTTTGCCTTATAAAGTATATAACTTAAAGCCTGTGACATATGAGATATTGCCATATGGCAATGGCTTTATTAAATCTGCCAAAGGATTATGTTTCTCAAAAGGTATTTTATACTTTTCATTCTAAGATGGGTGTATATATATAATCTATTTAGAAGTCAGGAATTCTTTCAAAGGCCCTGATCCAAACCTAAATAATTTTACTCAATAACAATCCCTGGAGAAGTATGCACAGAGGTAGGAGGTGATATGTTAAACATTTTATTTCTTTTAGAAGTTGATTTCTTATTTCTTAGCTGGATTCTACTTTGTGATGGTAAATGACCAAATATTTACAAATGAACAGCAGCAAGGAGCAGGGATGTATTATTGCTTGGTAGTCTAAGTCCACAGTGCCCAGTATGTTAGCTCTGCTTTGCAAACTTGGAGAAAAAAAGACAGATCTTGTGGTCTTTATAGTTCTTTCAGAGCAAAGCAAAACAAATCAGAAGATGCCTAAGCTCACTGGTATGAGACAATAAGGTAGATCAAAGTTATCTTTTATGTCAGCTGTACTTCTAAAACTGTATTTCTAAGATGGTGTGTGAGTCAAAACACAGTAACAGACTTCTTTTTTTTTTCCAGTTCCTTCCTTGATTGTAACCCTGTTAAGAGCAATGCCAAGGACTGAGCACATCCCCAAAACAAAATTTTAGTCCATTGAAATTTGGTGTCTCTTGACAAACAAAAATCTGCTTTTTGTTGTCCTTGTTTGTCTGTGGTTTTGTTGTTGTTGTTGTTGTTTGTTTATTTGTTTTTAATGATAGGCTTCCATGGAGAATGACTTAGAGTTAGATGCTATCTGTAGGTGTGTTGAAGCATTACTTTTTCTCTCTTTTTGACCGTAGAGAGATTTCAATATGATAGTTTAAAGTAGGAAAATATGCTAATTCTTATTGTATATTTACCATAGGAGTAATGTGAGTAAGAAAGAATATTTGTTAATAAAAGTCAAAAAGAAATAAGTAAGGTGGAAAAACTGAAAGAGGAAGAATGGTTCAGATGGCAAAAACTTCGGGTTTGTATCTCAGTGATGATTTATTTCTGGTGTCACATAAAGACCCTAGTTTGAGTAATGCTTATTTGTGCAGCTGTGTTATAACAGAGAACTCTTGTCCTTATGAACATAAAGCTGTGATACTATAAAAGAGGGCTAGGAAAAGGTCTGTCATAGAGAATAGAGATAGCTGGAGTAAATTCTGGAGAACTTGAAAAATAGAGTCAATTTTGAATGTGCTTCTATTATAGGGCTGTCAGAATTATCTGAGAAAGGATTGATAGTTTTTACATGTGTATGGGAACTGCTGAGTCACGGCCTGAACCTCTGATTAATCACCTGAGGCAAGCAATGAGTCAGCCCTGGGAGCACAGGTGAAAGCAATTCACCTGTGCTGCGGGAAGGGGTGGAGCATGGCTCCACCTCTCCTAGACCCATTTAAGAGCCGACTACCAGTGGGGAAGGTTCTCTCTCTCTTGGGAAGATCCACTCCACTGGAGTTTCCTGAGTGAGCCCATGACACGGGTAAGCATCCTGTTTATTCTCTTTGTCTTGCTGTGCCTAACTCACTTGCTTATTTCATTATTGTAACATCTTACTATTATTAAATTATATAGTATTCCTTTATATAATTTTCATTGATTATACAACATGGAAGAGTTTCTAATACATTTCATTTACAACAAAAAATGTGTTATACAGAATATTCTAGAATGATACTTAATAATTATGTCACATCTCTGATATTTGGATCTTCTTATTTTGCACTGAACTTGTAGGCAAAAAAAAACAAACCAAAACAAAAAAAAACAAAGAGAAAACAACTCAACATTAGATGTTATACATTAAAGTACATCACCCTTATATGCATGTCAGTTTTTAGGAATATCTGTGGCCTCCTGATAAGCCACTAGACCTATTCAGTCTGAAAATAAACCTAGCACTTTACAGGCACTTTTTGTTGCTGCTGAACTTTAAGTTGTGGTTCAGGTCTGCCCAGAGTATTGTTTTTCACTCAGTAGTGATTGCACATGCAAACCTTGCAACCAGCCTGAAAATAGAAAATTATATAGCTGAGTTAATTGAAAATCTGCTTATGGTGCATGGTGGCGTGAGCAGTAATTGACATAAAGTGCTGCTTAGCACACAGAATCAATTATTTTCGATTGACATAAAACAGGAAATCGTTTAATGTCAGATTGATATTAATGAGCACAGTTGTATTAACTAGTGCACGACTATCTGCAGCATTAGATTGATTTCTTTTTCTGGAAAGGAACTTGATACAAAGTGAGCTCAACCCTTAAAGGCCATGATATCATGTTTTGAAAAATAAATTTAATGGCAAATTAATGTTGAGATTGTTTTTCTAGGAATCTTTTTCTGAAGAGATGATAGCGCTTATCTGGACAAGCCATGATTACATTGTTGAAGTTTGAGTGTCACTATCTGGTCTTTGATTCATCACTGGAAGGAGAAATCATTTGTCAATTGTAATGCTCACAGTGATGAGCATATGGTGATGAGCATGTCTGAGGAAGATGCAAGCATAGTACAAACAAGTGGAATCACTAGGGAATATCTTTTCCCCTTCTTGACCCTAGTGCTATGACATTGGTCTGATTCCCTTCTTTTCTGGCCAGATGCTAATCATGACTAATAAAATCGATTTTGTATGTTGTACAATTCTCCACAGATTAATTATATCTGATGGCCGATGGACACATCTCAATTTTACTGAACAAGAGGAGTGGAATCTGCATGAGAGGATTGTGAGAGATGTTGCAAACTTGCCTTATTTTTCAACTAATAAACAAAAAGCTGACCACCTGTAAATGCTGCAGCCAGAGATCTGCACGTCCTTGAGATGTTAGAATGCTTTAGTAGCCACCCCATTTCAGCATCCTTTTCCAGTGGAACAGAAGCCCCAGGTGTGACTTGTTTGCCCCTAGGTTAGACATGGGAACATAACTGTTCAAAACTAAGTTATCTGGACCCCTTCTGAGATCAACAGGAAGAGAGAGATTCACTCTGCAGAGTGTGGATAGTCTAATTGACCTCAAATACTATTAAGGGGATTGGATGGACAGCTTTCTGGATGTGCCTGTTTCTTTCAATTGAGCAAAGGGTGTAGCCCTGCTGTCTCATCTTCCTTGGACATCTCTAGCTTTTAGACAGCTGAGATTAGGTGGGATGTATTCCATGCACCATATCGCCAGCACCCCTCACAGGAGGAAATACAATAATATAAATGTCAGATAAGACATGGATGCTTCTGCTTTGTTCTTTTTCTAGCCTTGGTATAACCACTTGCAGCAGTAGAAAATAAGCCACTGACATCTGTGATACTGACTGCTTTGATCTGAAAGTTTTAACCCCTTGCACCATTTCTTTTGAGGTGAGCCTTTTGAATTTCCTAATTGTTCTGAAAGTATTTAGGAGAGAAACTTTCCATGTGGTTTGGTGGGTTTTTTTTGTATGTGTGTTTGAAATGCTCAAAATCAATTCAACCACGTAAAGAACAAAATACCTCTGAGCCACTTACCAAGTAATATAATGATACAGAGAAGAATGGCAATAAGAGCCCCAGTGCTAAGACCAGTAGGATGAATCAAGGCTTCTGCATTACAGGACAGCATCTTTCCTCGATGGTCGCAAGCGCATACCCGAATAGTCACCGTTTCAGTGCTGCTCTGGATAGGGTAGTCATTGTCTGATATTACTACTGGCAAAAGGTAGGTACTCATTTCATGCCGGTTATATCTGGTTTTTCGGGTGAAAATCCCCGCTGTGTTGTCTGGAATCATAAAGCACACATTTTATCTTCACCTGAGGACTGAAAGCAAGAGTGAGATAAATAAGAAAAGTCCTTCTAGAAATTCACCTCTGTTGTCCTGGAGTGTAAAGTTTGAGCTGCTGGCTGCCTCTGGAGCTATGGAGAATGAAAACTGGTGTCCACTGTAAGAGTCATCTTTATCTACTGCACTCAATGTTTGTATCAGCTGAAACGATAAGAACAAAATTATCTTCAATGTCAGTGGACCTTATGCTTATTTATGATTTTACTGTTTTTTTTTTTCCCTGCTTTAATGAAGCTGATGCTGCTATCATGAGCATAACAAAAGCAATGCATGTGCTACTGATGCTGCTTCAGATCACTGTGCTATTGTATCCCATACCATTAGCCAATAACATAATGAATTTGAAAGTTGGCAGGAAAATCACAGACTTTGAGAGCAGGTTTGGGTTGACGCCACTCCAGCTGGGTAGAAAGCTTTGCATGTGACAGGCAGCAGAAATGAAAGATGAGACAGTCCAGTCTGGCTACATATTCATCTAACCAAATCCCATGTAACTAGAATTGTTCGGCTGACTCTTCCAAATTATGTGCTACTTTGAATCATTTAGTAATAGCGCTGGTAGAGTGAGAGTTATCTGGCAGAAAATAATTATCTCACAGACAGGACCTGTAATAGTTTTTGAAGGAGACAGTGGAGGTGCCCGAATATAGCAGAAAATCACAGAGGGAAAATGAATCAGAGATAACAAGGCACAGTACAGAAAACAAGTGTAAAACATAGTATCATATTAGCTGCAAGAATACTAAGTGTAATCAGATGCTGTGCAGCCACTGTTTAGTTTAATTTTGCCAAACTGACGCTCTGATGCAGTGCAAGGTATATCTGTTGATGAGGTGGTGCAAGAGAAGTAGCAAACTCAATTCATTTTGAATATTTTCTTAATACAAGCACACAACACACCTGTTCTGCCTTTGCATTTTCACAGACAAAGGTCTCATAAAACATGGCAAACTCTGGAGCGTTGTCATTTACATCCAAAACCTTAATGAACACTGGGACACGGCTGCTTTGTTTTGGGTTGTCTGAAATGATAAAACCAGAAAAAAAACAGATTTTATTTAGCCCAGCTACTGACCCAGTATAGAAGAAAAGGACAGATTTAGGGGCTCAGTGCCTTCATTCCTTTCTCATTCATTATTTTCTGTTAATTCCTGGGGAAATACATTAGAAGATGAATTCCACAAAACTGTGCTGTATTATCATACTCTGATTATTAACTGTATTAACTGTAAACATTACAGGAGTTCAAGGAGTTGCTGGTTCAAGGTTTGCTGGTTCCTTTGTACATTCTGAACATGATTACGAACATATGTACAATATCTATAAAAAACAAATAACAGATTTCATTTAATTCTGGCATTTTATTAGTCTGCTTGGTGGTAACAATGTTCTCAGAACATATTCGCTTCCTTAACTCTGAAACAGGAAGACTGAATATTCATGAAGATGGGGTTGCGGGTTTTTTTCTCTCCACCTATAAGAGGCAATATTCCCTCCCCTGCAAATCTCATGACAGAGTTCCTTAAGCTACTGTGATTACCATTACTATACATAAATAATAACCACTGCTGTGATCACGGGCATTTTCTAATCTTCTGTGGATTGATTTGGCTAATATTCTGGAGTTGATTTTAAAACATATCAGCAGAAGAACACCAGCAGCACTATATAAAATCTGCAGATTCCTGTATGTAAGCTTTTCTTTTTTTTTCTTTGCTTTAAGGACTTGGTAGGATCAAGAGATTGGATTTGACAATTTGAAAAGGATATTACTGAGCATAAAGTACTGATAAAAACATTGTTATCCTCACAGACAAAAATGAAAATTATTGGAAATGCAGCTCATTGTGCAGACCCTTTCTTTTCCTGTTGGACTACAAAGGAGACAGATCTTCATCAAAAAGGTACTCAAAGTGGGAAAGAAAGGCAATGTGCAGCAACCTTGCCTGAGAGGCATGAAGGAAGAAAGAGGCAAGACTCTGAGTCAAAAGGACACATCATAATTACCATCAGTTCCTAAGTTGTATAAGACCCACCCCTGAGCAGATTTGTCATCACTAATCAAGAGTAGACCAAGAGACATTTCCAGACTTGATCAGTGTCCCATGTCCGCCATGTGATGCAGAAATGATCCAGGACAGCTCACCTAGGCATACCCATTGTAGTACTTGGGAGCGTGTGGGAGTGTGAGAATGAAATCAGGGAATGAGTGGGACTGAAATGACATTTATTTAAAATAAATCCCCACCTCCTCCCATTCATGAGGACTCGCTCTGTATTTTGCTACATTAATTTCCAACCCATATAAATATAGTTTATTAATACATTTTAATCTATGATCCAAGTAAAAAAAAAAAAAAACGGGAATAAAATATAGATCTATGAGTTTGCAAGCTTCTACAGGCATTCATTATAGTAGCTTGTTGAGTTAAGCTTTAATAAAAGCCCTATTACTGTATTTATCAAACTTTTATAAATTTGAAAATGCATTCTCCAAAATTGGCACCGTATATTCGTATTACAGAGTTCAGTCATTTGGACAAAATACTGCACTTTAAAGCTCCGCAGTCCCATTCGAGTTAATATGATTCCATTAGGCATAAAACACTTCCTAATATAAACCACAGGGCTAAATTCATTCAACGTGTAAAATATCTATGTACAATATATACTAGGCTGAATTTTATACTAAAATACATCAATATAAATGTTGAATTTTTATAATAGGCAGAAATCAAATTACTCATTTGAATTTGCAGGGCTACTTGCAAGACTATTTATAAGGGCATACCTTTCTAAAATATGCATTCAACTATATTGCCAAATGTGTTTCTTTTGCTCCCCAAAATTACAATTGTTTTCTTTCCTGCTTTTTGAACTATTAACTGCATATTTTCATTTTACTTCAAAGTGCTTAAGATCCTCACAATTTAAAATGAGAGTATAATAAATAGAAGCCATATAAAAACCAATATATTCTATGGATGGGGGCCTTTTTCTGATTTTATGAAAATGAGTTGAAATATGTTTATACATCATAAAGACCTTTTTGTCTTCTTTCAAATTATTTTTGCAAATGAATTGGGATTTTTTGTTTGTTCGTTGCGTTATCCTTTAATTACTAATGAGCTCCATCTCCAAAGAAAAAGTTCCATCATATGAAACAGACATATCTGCTTAAAATCTCTACAGTAGTATGTCTTATGCTTACCTATCAACTGCTAAACATTTTTTTCTGAATGCTACTCCAATGTCCTGACAATGTTGATTTACCTTTAAGTATTAAGTAAAGGATATTTATTTTAAAACACCCTCAGAACTGTCTCTGGTGAGCTGTGATTCTGCAGCTGTGAGTCAGGAGTGCTGTGCACTGAGCTTCATTATCAGTTTGCCTCTGACTGTGGCAGATGTAGCGATCCTGTGTTTCATGAGGTAATTGTTTGCAACATTCAGAGCATAACTCTCAGGACTGCTGAGCAACTGCAGCTCATACAAATACAAACAGGAGAACATTAAAAAATGCAGCTATCTACACTTACTGATAATTTTAGAAAATTCAAGGCAAAACAACTTCTGTATTTCTGTTTGTTTTATACCATAAAACAAACCTGTGAACAGCCATTGCTGAAAGTTGTTTCTCTTTATGACTTTACCACCTTTTTTGCATCCATCTCTTTGTGTGTGTTCTGCCTCTAACTGGCATGGATCCTTCCTTTAGTTTACTTCTTCACTAATCTAAATTAGTGATGTTGCGTTACTGAGAGCAACCAATGTTAGCAGAATGGAATTCAGCAAGCCTTGCTAGAAATGTCTAGTTTTAGCCAGAAGCATTAAGCAGTGGTGTTTTCCAGTTTAGTCTCTTGAGACTGAAATTAGTGAGGTAGCCTGGATCAGACTAAGCCTTGTTTCAGTAGTAGCTGTCTTTCAGCCAAGAAAATTGCCTTTGGAAGGCATCTACCCTAGTTATGCCAGATTTGGTCTAGGCTCAGAGATGCACAGCCTGGGAAGACAGTTGCAGCCTGCAATGTTTCAGACTAAAGAGGAATTGCAATTAAGGCAGAAACTTGTTTTAGACTCAGAAGGTTTAGCTGAGAGCATTTGGCCCAGTAGAAGCTCTGTCCTAAGGGATGGAGGCAAGGACTGAAATGAGTATTTCCTATAGATACTAACCTGGTTTTCAGATAGTACAGTTTGCTGCAGTGCATGTTATTTCAGTTCCACTGGGATCAAAGTAAGTGTGCTTCTTGGTATTCTTTCCTTTTTAGGTGTTTATTTTTTTCCCTCCTCTCCTATCCGGGAGCACTGTCTCTAGTGTACAACTCTTGACCCTAGACCACTCCTTCAAAGATTTAACAGAAACACAAACATCTGGCTAACAGCTAGACATCAGTGTTAGTGTTTGGTATGCAGAAACAACATACCTGGCATAGAAAGGTGCAAGCTTTCAAGAGAGAAAGAAAACTATTTTAAAAAAACATCATTCCTGTAGGCGCTAGTGCACTGGTCTTATGTGCACAAGGCCATCTGTTTGCCTCACTAGTATCACATGTATCACAACAGTTTTCAGCTTCAAAAAAACCAAACCAAAAACCCTACAGAGTAAAGAAAACTGGAGTCAAGTACCTCTTAGTTACATTCTCCTCAGCATTCAGCCGCTGAGTGAGCCATACACAAACATACACTCAAAATGAGAAAGTAGAACTTGTATTCTCTTAGATCACGTTTTTAAATAATGCAATTTAACCTCTTGGACAGCCCCAGAACTGATAATACTAGATCAAGCTACCATTCTGTCATGCTTTACTGTCATGGGCACTGGGAGTCTGCAAAGGTGAATGGAATTGTATTCTGTAATATGCCATATGTTTATAGGTGGACCAGTAAAATAAAGAGGCTTATTAAAGCTGCCTAGCATACCTGGCTTTATCTAGATCCCTGGCATGTCAGTTCTTAAAATGAACATGACCATTGTTACCACAAGATTACTTTTTCTGACCAGTCCTAAACTAAGCAACAGACAGGTTTGTAACTAGGGATTCTGAATTAAAAAATAAATAATACAGAAGTTAGAAATTGGAATAAAAAGCTGATTAAGGCTTGGGCAACTAGTTCAGCCCAGCCACCTCATCCCTAACTGAAAACATCCTGCCATTCAGTCTGGATCAGAACAAAGTCATTCAAGGAATGCCATTCAACCTTAAGCCATTTTATTTGCTGCATACCACTGTTTGGAACTCATTGAGTCATTGTGGCAATTACTGATCAGAAAATATAGAATTCTTGCTTTCCTCCCTTCTCAGCTGTTACCTCTTCATGCCCTGCATCCCTAGTAAACATAAAACTGTAGACCATTTTTTTCACTTTCCACTTCTTCATTAGTATTGAGCGGTCTATCCATATAACCTGACATCTGTCCAACCGTGCTTTCCACACTCTCAGTTAGAAGGCTAAGTTCATTACATCAGGGACAGCAATGGTATTTAGGTTTGACTTACTGATCTCTGCTGCTATTACTGTAATGTTGTGCCATAGCAATGTTTCCCGGTCAAGAGTTTTTGAAGTAAATATTGAACCATTTCCTGAGTTGATGTTGAATACTCTGTCCATATCAGTGTGTCGATCTACAGAATACCTGCAAATGCAGAGAGAGAAGTTAGAAGATTGTTTTCCATTTATTTTCTATGTACTTAAACCATTTCCTAAGACTAGACATCAAACACCCATTAAATGGGGTTGCCTTTTGTTTTCAGTGCAGGCTTTGGTGCCTTTATATATTCACACAAAGAGCTTGTTCTGAGCTTCTGGATAATGACACATTGGAGGTTTGATTTAGAAGGTGGGGCATTGTCATTGAATGAATGGATTACTGTGGAATTTACATACCTCTGAGAATCATCAAAGCTTTGTTTTTAGTGAGAAATGTGAAGTCTGTGTCCTGAAAGATATGAAATTTTTTTTGAGGCTGAGTTGGCTTTCCCATTATCAAATCCTTTTTTAATGGCTTTATATCCTAACTGTTCCAAATAATTTCTGATAGGAAATTTGAAGGCCAGGAGGCATTTCTGCCTTTCACTTTCCAGGGTTAAAAAAGACTGCCCCTGAAATAACAAGTTGGTGTGGGACAGAGATTCATTATTCCACAATGTATATCACATAAAGGTTTCCTGTAATTCATTAAAACTAACATGCGCAGCCCTACTTGATGGTATCCAAATGTGAAAACAAATGCTAACAAGCTCGGGAGGTCATAGTCTAAATACCAGAACAATTTTTCAATCTGATCTTACTCTTTCTTTTCCTGCTGATTAAATTTGAATCCAAATTTAAAAGCAAAACTCTCCAGTGACAGTGTTCAGCTGTCCAAATGTTGTCACCTCATTTTATCTCTCATGAAGAAAAAATTTTCACATAAATGATGGAGATTTTGACAGAAATGTGTTTCTGATGTTTCTAAAACAAGAATGGAATTGTATTATTCTGCTCTTGTTGCAAGTTGAGTGTGTACTGGTGTTCAATCCAGAACAGAACCTTATGAAGCCCAATGTCCTTTCTTGGTCTCCACAACAGTGGAGGCAAGGAAGCTACTGCTATGTCTAAGCAAAGATAAAACTGAGATACAGCTGAGTTAGTATGTAATCAGATGAAAACTGGGCCAGGAGAATGACTGGCAGAGTTCATTTTCACTATAGAATTAAAGAGGATGAAGAAAAAAATTCACTCCCTTCTCCACTGTAGGCACAGCTCTGTGACATGTCCTCTATTCTACACAGATTTCCCAACGTCTGTGCAGTTTCTTAACTTCTGAGAATGATCTCACACACAGATAGGAATAGATGGAAGAGCCTAGCTCAAAAATGATTTTGAGAAACGTTTAAATTGAAAACACTAACCTTCTAATTATTTTGTAACTTCATGGTATCTCTTTTCAAGTGAAAAAAATGGGATATGATATCCACAGCAAGTTAAACTAGTCTTATTTTAAATGAGAATTTAGTGAAAAGTACCTTCATAAAATTGTAGTAAGCATTAATATTTTGAATAATTACTTTTTGTTTTACACATTCAATTTCTGTGGAAACAACCAAATTACATTCAAAGATACTCAGAGAGCAAGCCAATTTGGTAGTATTTGCATAGGCATATTCTCCTAGTTTTTCCAGATCTGATTTAGTCCTTGTTCTTCACTGTCAGTTGACTAACAATACAAAAATTGTAGCTGTGTGAAGACAACTTTGGTGTCACTAGCCTAGTTTCTCAGTGCACCATTATAACATTACTGACAGCTTGAACAAAGTATGCGCGAAGGTATCGAATAGGCAGCACTGAGTGACGGCACAGCTCCAGCAAACCGTGTAGTTTTGTCCAAATGTAAATATTATACATGAATTTGTTGACTTAGCTGAAATGTTTGATGGAAACAAGTTTATACCAAGCAGTTTGACTCTCGTATATTTTGACAAAGTAAGTATTTGATATGGTAAACATTTCATTTTAACTTTCATTCATTCAGGCTTTTATATGATATTATGTTGGTATTTTGTGAATTCAGTCATTTTTCAGACATTCTGCAGCTCATTTCCATATCTTTCAGCTGAAATACTTCAGTATTTCCATTTCACAGTACATCTAGATTCTTCATTCTTGTTTGAAATGAAAATACCAGGATTTTCCGTAGATTAGCTATTCTGGCCAACTCTAATAGTATGTTTCAGTCTCTTATTCAGCAAGATATTTAAGAAAGCATCTAGCTGGAGGAATGAGTTGTCCGTTGTTATTTTTTCTTCAGTTATGCCTTCACACATGCTTCACATTATGAATGGACAACGTATCTTATAGCCTTAGCATATTTTAATGCCTTGACATATTGTAATCACTATCATTACTTTCTAAGACTGCCCAGATTCAATCACATCTGTGATATAGTATCTGAGAGAAATGAAAGAAAATGTTCTGGAGCTTTACACATTGAAGACGACTTCTCAAAACATTAAGAATTTAAAAATGTAAATCCTAGTAAAACCAAATGTATGTTCAGTTGTTTGTGCAGAGGAAAGTAAAACTCAGAAGAAAGAAAAAAAAAATAACCAGAGAACGGCTTCTTAATGAAATGTTAATTTTATTTCTTCATATTCAAGGGAAAATACAAACAAGGTCAATGCAGTTAAAGCATATTCTAATTATATCATTAACCCTAGACTAGAAAGATGATTTTAATAAGCCAGACTGTCACTTCTGTTTCTCAGTTTGTATAATCCAGTCTGTTTTGGTCAAGGTCTGTTAATTATGCAGAACTGGTGGCAATTCTGACTTATGGATCATAATACAGTAAGAATTAAGCAGACAACATCAAACTCATTTTTACATTTATTTAATAAAATTACTGGTGCGTATTTGTCAGATTTCAGGACCTCATCACTTTCAAACCTTGAGGAATTGACAAGCTAGGAAGTGAAAAGGTATCTGTATATATTCCATTCTCTCCTTGTACATAACAGGAAGAAGGAGCAAGTGAAAGAAAGAATCTAACACATGCAAATATGTTGTCATTAAAATACACAAACAAAATTAAGCCTTACATTTGTTTGCAGATCATTTTAATCTAGGAAACTTTTGTAAATCAAATCACAGCAGGGAGACAGCTCCAGTGACTGATGAACTTCATTATGACTCTAAGGAAGTACTATAGCAAAAAAAAACTCGACTAGCAATTTACAGAGATCTGATGTACAATACAGCAATGCCAACTGCAGCTTTTTTTTTTTTCTTTTTTTTTTTTCCCCCAGTATGCAGTGGTTCATAACATCATTTCTGCTTAGATCAAGGAAAAGCAGAATGCAAAACTTTTTTCATAGCACAGCTGGACAGCGGAATGTTAATCAGGAGTGTATGAACGTTGCAATGCATAGATGGTTATTTAAACATGTAGCCAAACATTTATTGGTGTGTTTTTATATTTCCTTAATGTTACATAGCAGAAAATCTAATTTACAAGAGCTGGACTGATGCTCTACTGATACATAGGTCATAGACAACGATGTACTCTTCAACCAGGGCAGATATCTGCTTCATATTTGTCTATTGCTTCATTGTCTCCTGATGCCCAGCAGCTTGCTGTCTAATGCAACCGCAAGTCAGGAAGATTTGTGGGTCAGGAAGGGATGTGCGTGTGAATTTTTCATAATGCATTTTCATAATGATATTGTGAAGGTTTCCTTTAATGGAAGATCAAAGGGGCTTTCATCTAACAGAGTTAGGACTCAGTTTGTTTAAAAAGAGAAATTTTCACTCAAGTAGAGGAGAAAATGAAAGGTTTTCATTGTAATATCAAGTATCTAAAGATTTTATTTTTAACTGTCAAGGAAAATTGACAAGCAAGTGACAAGCCATATATATACAGTCTAATTGCATCTTCCCTGAAGCTCAGAGCGAAAATCAGATTTAACATCTCCATTGCATGATGGAAAAAAATCACCCTGTCAAAAAAACGCAGACTCAACCTCTGACCCTAAATTCTGGGAGATATGCAATGCACTAGCACCATAAAATTACGAGGGCTGCTCCAAAAGTAATGCTGCCTATTTTATTATGTTGGCCCACGGTGTCAGAGGTGAATGTGGTACAGCAGTAAAGGCTGAACCTTCCCATCAAGATTCTTTTATATTTTCTTGCCATGTGACAGATGGCAGCAGAGGGGCTATCTGAAATGGAAGTGCGTATGAAACAAAGGTGTGTTGTTGAATTCCTCCGTGAGGAAAAAATTGCAGTCATTGACATTCATCAATACTTGCTGAATATTTATGGAGACTGAACAGAAAGCAGACTGAGGCAGTGGGTGGTGTGTTTCAGCAATGGAGACAGCAACAGTGAATCATCTTCACTGGTGCAGATTTTTATGAATGCAGAATGCAGGCTTTTGTTCATTGCTGGTGAAAATGCATAGCTGATAGTGGTGACTGTGTTGAAAAATAGTGTTTTGTAGCTGAGAATGTGCTCTATTAAACAGCATTATTATGCTCTTTACATCTGTTCTAGTTTCCATACAAATAAATAAGAAATGTTACTTTCGGAGCAACCTACATACATTTATTGTAAGATAACATCTCACAGGCTGCTGCTCTCTGCTGATTTCCTTTCCCTCTTACTGATTTTCCTATTTATTGTTTCTGTGTTTGCTTCTGTTAGTCTAACCTCTTCCTCATTTTTATTTTTCTTCTCTTTTCTCTCTTATTGTTTCATATTATTAGTGTGTAAAGACATTTTCTGCTGTTCTGCATCAATTTTGACATTTCTACTCAGATTTGTTCAGTAATTATATTTTAATATGTAGAGTACCTGTACAGTACTTAATAACTGCCCTATGAATGATAGATAAATTTTAGCACACATATTCAATTAACAGAAAAGAGCCAATAGGCAATACTCAGTGTACAGTACAATCTCTATCCACTGTAAAACGCTTAACAATTAAGAGGTGGTGCTGGTGTGAAATTCAAGTGGTTATAGTTATCACAACAGGGAATCAGAGAAGCATTCCCCTCATTCTCTAGCACCATTAGATATGAAAAAGTATATTTATATGAGGACTGGAAGGGTTTTGCCTGGGTTTCACCTCAAGCAATTTTTTGTCTTCATGCTAGTGTACCCATGAAGACATGCTATAGATGGTATTTATTCTTTCCCTGAAACTCACCACAGTCAGCAAAACACTATGTTGCCCTTCAAGTCACTATACTCTCTCTTCTAATCCAGAACTTCCTATAATTGTTGCATGCCAATGATATAAATGAAAGCAAATCTTAATTACAATTAAAAGGCTTAGTCTTGAACAAGAATTCATGTGCAGGGCAAGGCATTCAAACAGTGTTTCTGCCAGATAGTGTTTCTTCTTCTAGGAAAATAAGATAGTACCAACTACCCATCTCACAAGATGAGCTGAGAACTTAAAACTTACACATGCTTGATAAGCACTACAAGACATTTTGATGAAAGATAGCTGTTGCAGATGTACAAAGTATTGACGGCTTGGATTTTTATTAAACCTGTATTGTTCTATCTTTGATCTAAATACACTATTGCATTTCCAACATGACTAAACCAGAGACATGCTAAAAATTGACCTGGATTTAATATTGCTGTATTTTTTCATTTCCTCCTCTTACTGTCTTGTCAGCAGCAATGAACTCTAATTAAAACACATAGAATATGAAAGTACTTCTAAATATCCATCTAATATCATTTAAGTACTTCAGTACTTCAGTTTTCAGATGTACTGAAATAATTGACCTTTTAATTTACAAAAAATAAAAATAAAAATGAAGGCTTAGGCTTAGCTACACCAACCTTAGCATTTACTCCATTTCCTCAAAGACTAATTTACTGAGTCATAGCAACTGTAAGTTATGAAGTCCATGAGCCTGATCTGTATCTTACTAACCTTACACTGATATAAGTGAGAACAGAGTCTGTGTGTGAACCAAGTGCTTTTAAGGGATTTCTGCTTGTGGTATATAGAAGGTAAATGTGACCTCTGATAAGCAGATATGAATGGATGGGAGAAGCTGCTGAATCACTTCCCTGTCATATAGCCAAAAGGATGCACCACACTGCACTGGAAAATGTTGGAGGTGGAAGGAGAACACCAGCATCATTGTAGTGTTCTTTCCCAGTAAACTCTCCCATGGTAATAATAGCCACAAACACTACTGAAGAGTAGGATATAATTTACTGAAGAGGCTAGGATATAATTCAAGATACAAGGGCCATGCAAACACAATCACACATAAACAGATATGCTCAAGTAAGAGAAATAATTTACCAGCTATGTTACTCCATATATAAGCATACCCAAACAGTTTCATTCTCAAAAGGGATTTCTCTGTGTGTACTCACAAGAAAAAAAAAGCAAAATCAAAGCAGTAAAAGAATTCAGAGTGAGCTGAAAGTCTATGCTTACTTGACAGGGTTCTTGGCAGCATCTGGATCCTGCGCTGTTACTGTTCCTATTACACTGTTTATTGGAACATCTTCTTTCACTTCAATTATATATGCTGGTCTGCTGAACACAGGGGGTTCATCTACATCTTCCACTTGAATTCTGATTGTGGCTGAATCCTTGAATGGCCCCAAGTAGAGGAATCGAGGGTCCACGTGAGTATTGGTGGCTTCCACCTTCAGAATATACAAGTTTTTATTTTCAAAATCCAGTGCCTGGGAAGAGAAACAAGCAAACAAAAACACTTCAGAAGTCTGTGGGGATAGCTGTGGCGAGCAGCCAGAGTATCTAAACAAACTGGGGGATGGAAGCATGTGCTAAGTTACAGGAGCCTCAACTGGAATTAACGTGCCAGAAGAGAGAAGAAAGTTGGGGCTCTTTGTACTGATGGTAAGTTCTAGGGAAAAAAAAAAAACAAAAAAAAACTGGCAGGGAATTCTGTGCCAGGAACTTCTAAATTCAAATTAATTATACCTTCTCAAATAGCCTCAACTCTTCATGCTTTTTAGCCTGTTGGTTTTGAAATTTTGTTGCTTTCTGGACTCTTGACCTTAAGCACCATACACCATATACTAAAGGGAGATTCTCTAGGAGCTCCTTTCTAATATGTTGACATTCCATCACTGAAATGAATCACTATGTTATTTGGTGTCAGAAGACATTCAGGGCCACCCACGGAAAACATGATTTTATGACAGGCTATTACCATATCACACACTAATAAAATAGGAAGAAGAGGTATTTAGGAACCGTTTCTTACATTCCTTAGAGTAATGTGGGGAGAGACTAGTTATTCCACTTTTCTGTTAGGCTGTAGAAGATTCACAGCTTCAGTCACCAAGAGACAGAAATGCAAACAGAGCTAGACTGATATCATAATCAGCCCCTTAAAGGCATCTCTTAAAAAACAAGTAATGACAGGTGTTGTACTGATATCAAACGCAAGTTATGTTCAGAAAATCTACACAATGTCTATTTAGTGAGGACTGAACTTGAACTGATGGAGGATGATATCTGTAACCTTATCAAGCTTGCCTGATAGCCCACTGTAAACAATATTTCTCAAACCTTTTCTGACAGCCAACGTGCAGCCTAGTAGATGGCGTCCACCATGATCCAACACAGCGTTGTTGTATTTTTTTTTTTTTCCTGAAGGAAAAGCATGCTAATGGGTTTATTAATTGTATCTTTATAGCATGAGACAAATTAAATTTGTCTTTGTATTTTGATATGTTATAGCTATACAATTCAATATCTTTTGATGGTGCAAAGCAGGCTGTGTGACACTGAATATTACTGTAGTGTTAACACAGCACATTTCTAAGAAGTGAACAAATCCTGTATGCATGATAGAGACAATGTCACAGTTGGGTAACTCCTTGAGTTGTCCTGTAGACACGTTCAGACAGAATTTTCTCAATTCTATCCCACTTCATAGATTATGTACTCTCAAATCATGTGTATTATTTTTGTAAAGGAGAAAGCATCCTAATTGTATAAAAGAAAATTTACATAGGTAACATTGTAGAGATTCCTAATAGATAGCATCTAATTTAATAAACGACACATTGCACTAAAAATGGAAAACAATGGAAAATGTGGTAGATACATTTTTTTCTGGCATTTTTGAGGTTGGTATGAAGTGTCTTAGGATGTGTACCTTTTTGACAGTTATAATTCCTTCCTGTGTGTCCTTGTCTGTGGTAATTCCAAACATGTCATATCCATCCCCCTCAGTGATGCTGTATTCAATCTCTGCGTTTTCATCCACATCTGCATCATTAGCTTTAATCCTGCCAATTGGTGAGTCAGGTGGCGTAGACTCAGGAGCTCTGAATTGGTAGGTGCCTACAGTAGATAGAGGAGGGAACTTTTGTCAGTCAGACTCATGGTATTTTGGATGCTGTTTCTGAATCCATTGTCCTGTTGGGCATGAACAGATGAGTTGCTGAGTGGCTTTGTCTTTGTACTTTCCTGGTGCAAAAGAATTCAGCCTCTGCCTAACTTTCATAGGGATAAAAGTAACTTATTCTTCTACCTTTTTTTTCTAGTATGAAGGGATTTTTTTTCCTACATATATGCAACTTTAGCAACATATGTCCTTTCCTAGATACTATCAGTTTGTGTTAACAGTAACAAAACACTATATGAGAAATGTTTTGAGGTCAAAGGACAAATAAAATATTAAGACCTGCCAGAGGCCAATGCAGTTTAGTATCACTAAAAGCCCACTAAAAGCAAATCTGGCTCAAATGCCTATTACTAATATGCTGCACTGAATTTGTCCCCTGAGAAAAAACTGCTTGGGGAATGTTGGCATTATGAGGCTATATCTTTGGCTTTTATACTGAAGACACTCATGTCCAGAGATGTATAATTAACTCACTGGAGGCAGAGTGCTATATTTCCTCTTAACTTGTTTAAATTTAAATGGAAACATTTTGCCCACAGCTAAGAACAGACTTTGAACTTAAATGACAAGTTGCTTCCAATAACATTCCCAGTGACTTAAGCGCCAAAGCTTGCTGATTTGTCTGATAGTATCTGCAATTATTTTCTTGAACAGCTGCTCTTGACTTTGACACACACTGACACTCTGATACACACATGCACACACACAGCAGTGTAAGATGAAGCAAAGATGAAGGAGGGATAAAGAGAGAGGAAGAAAAGTGAATGAACGCTGAATCACATTGAATCACATATGACAATGAACAATCATTAATACAAATGGCTTTCTAAGAGATCTGACTCAACTATTTCCTTTAAATATTACACAGCTATCTAAACGATCTAAGGCAAGAGGAGAATAGGCAGAAATATCTGGTATATTTATATATGTGTCTTTGTTTCTGTTTGCAATGAATATAGGAGAACCCATTGAGGCAAATGTTTCCTGGCTAAAAACACTCATTTTGATAGAGTTACTCTGGGGATCATTTTATATTCTTAAATAAATACTTCAAAAGTTAAATATGTTTGACTAGAACAGACTCCTTAAAATGCAGTTGACCACAAGGTCTTTTATAAAAACAATATTGATCAGAAAATATAGATTGTATCAGTCAAAGCTTATAGTTTAATAGGTAAGTTTATAGGTAGCAAAAAATAGAAGTTATTTCTGTTTGTTAATTCACTTTTCGGACTATTTATTGCATATATAGTAAAAATATTAAAGGTAAGTTTCCTAATGATTGTAATTAACCTGATCACGATGCTACTGCTTGCTTGTGTATTCCCTTTTTCTTTCTTAAGTGAAGTCATAGTCTGTAAATTCATGACAGCAGAAACTTGACTTAAAAGGAAATATATAAAAATACTAAATTCTTGTTCATTTTACTGTAAAGACATAGAATATAAATATTCCATACTCTGGGGGAACCGAGGAGGATTGTCATTTACGTCGGTCAGCGTGATGTTCACAGTGGTGGTTCCTGATAATCCACCCATCTGGCCTCCCATGTCCTTAGCCTGGATGACCACTTGATATTGCTCCCTGTTTTCACGATCCATGTTTAGTAAAGCAGTTTTAATAATACCTAAAATGTGAAAATTAAAAAGTAAAATTCACAAGTAATGTACTGACTTCGATGAAAATTCTTATTTAAAAAAAAAACCCCACAGCCTAAAGAACAAAGCAATCTCTATGTAATGAGTAAACTTTGCCCAGTACAAATATTTACTGTTATAAGATGGCATATCAAATTACAGACCTGTCATATCATATCTCATGCTGCTGCCTATGTGACAGACACAACAGTAGAGGCATTTCCAGAAAGATGTTCTACCTATTGTGAGCAGTGTTATTTTACATAATATCTACACCCTTTCAGTTCCATGCTAAAGTCTCTCACTGAACTGGAAGAAGGCTCATTGTTCATTATAATGTGCTCCATCTTTTCTCTCCTGTTCTGTCAATATTTTCATTTTGACAGACAAAAAAAAAAAAAATAATAAAATAAAAAGGAAATAAGAAGAAAAGCTAACTTCAGCAATACATCATTAAAGGGGCAATATGACAAAATTAAAATGGGAGAAGTTAATTAAAAATATTGTAAGCATACAAGCATGCCCAAGTATATATATTTCTATTTATACATTGCTTGAAATGATTTTGCCAGTCTGTTCCTTCTTCAAAGGTACAAAGTCTTTTTAAGCCCAACTCCTATTGAATTTCAGTCATTTAGATTTACCATGAAGCAAAATGTTTGCTGGGTATCTTAAGGCTAAAAACTGACTCCTTTGTAGACAAAAGGGATGAAATCCAAGCACTGAAATCCATGGGAAAATTCATAACAGCTTCAACAATGACTTATTTACTCTAGGAGTTTTGCAATTGACTTCCATGTGAGCACAACCAAGTCTGTGGTTTACCTTGCTTCCCTTCCATTCCTCATACAACCTTCTTGCTAAAAGGTTATTACTGCTGAACTCCTGGGTGCATTATCCATATTGTAACTCTAAGAACAGATATTATACTTTCCAAGTGAGAATGCCTGCATCAGTGCAAAAATCCTCTTTCTTGTACTATCTAATACCTTATGCTTGAAAGGGAAGCTCCCTTTGATACCGGCTTCCCTTTTTTTCAGATGTATCTTTTTTAACCTCACATTTTTCTCTGACACATCTCATCTTTACCTTGCCCAAGTCTCTAAGATTTAAATAAGAAACAATTCTAAAACCTGATTAATTGTCTGGAATAGCATTCTTTTCCTGTAAGAATGTTAAGAAGAACCATTTTCTCTAGCTTCAAGCAACCTATCAGAATGGATATTCCTATTTAAGGAGCCTCTTGAAATCTTTTATTACTTGTAGAAGTTTGACATAAGTCCTGAGAGTATCTGTGTAGTGGGATAGTGTAGTAGTACAGCAGATTTGATCAGTCAGAATTCACAAGTTTTACACACACTGGCTGCAAAGCAGTCTGTTATTCAGCCCATAAAAAATTCTAGTCACTGTGTATAATTTAAATATATTCCAAAAACAGAACTCAGAAGTTTGCAATTCTATTTGTGATCTGCTAGTGTAGTTCAACAGCCAATTTTACCTCTTCTATCATTATTCTTAATTAAGATTTCTTTCATAAAATTAGCATTAAAGTGATATGTTGCAGATGTACAGAAATTATAATTACTTTAAACAAGTTTTGAAGAAGCAGGAGGGAAAAAAAAAAAAAAAAACGAGCAAACTCTCAGTCTTAATTTAACCATTATGAAGATATATGAGGATTAAGCACTTTTTTTGCACACCCACCTGTTTTCTCATTTTCTTCTAAAAGCAACCTATTTGGTTTAATTTAAGCATCTACAGCAGTGTCTGTACCACTGCTTGTTAAAAATGATTGAAAACTGTTTCACATTCAGTACTAATCGTATTTATTAGATTTTGCTTTTAGATTAAAATATTGTAGGTGTCATGTTTACAGAGGTATCGCTCAATTAAGTTTGTCAAATTTTGCACTGAATAAGATAAAATCTCTTTGAAGTTTTTGACTGATATGTCCTAGCTTGGCTTAGCATGTCATTTTAAATTGCAGACATTGTCACAGAATGACAGACAAGGTCTTCTGACCTGTCTCGGATTCTACGGAGAAATATGGTTGTCCCTGGAGAATGCTGTAGACAACTTTAGCGCTGTTCCCATATGTAGGATCATCAGCATCAGTTGCAGTGACTTGTACAACAAAGGTACCTGCAATGATAAAAAAAAAAGTACATTTTTTTTTTCTTTTTTCTTTGTCTTTTTTTTTTTTTCTTCTTCTTCTTTCTCATGGATGAGACAGTTTATGATGTAGAAAAGCATAGCTGAGATTCAAGTCAAACATGCGGCAAAAAGTAGAGAGATCCTTATTTGGGAGGAGTTATTCTGCTCTCATAAAAGACAGTGTTCCAAACCAAAATAATAGCTGGCTTTTTCTCAGTTCATTAAACTGCAGTTATCAATTGGATACATAAATCCTTTATCACAAGTTTTAGAAACAAATCAGAAACCCAGCTTTCACTAGATATGGAAGATGTTTAGAGTTTGAATCTGGCTCACGAATATACTTTCACGAATTTACTCATGCTTGTAACAGGTTAAACTAAAATTTACAGTCAGAACAATATTAGACTTTAAGGTGTTCGACATTAGAATGTAAATCTGTTTTTTATATATCTTTTAGAGGAAGAAATGTTTTTGAATCCTGGTCAAAGGGTTAACAAACATGATAAATGAGCTTAAGTTTTAGGATTTTAAGCAGATTTGTGAATAAAGCATTCATCACATACTAAAATGTGAATATCAGTTTCTGTCTTCACCGGGTGAAGTTACATCTGTGTGATAAGTCCCATGAATGAAATGAGAGAGTATGCCCTAAAGTCTTTATTTTCATATTGCTTGAGCTTTATTTTAATCTCATTCTTGATTGTGATTAATTAATATTTCTGTCTCTGGGTATTTTTTTCAGATTAGAACTGTGTTTCTTGCCATTCAACCATCCATTTTATGTCTGACAAAAAAAATCAAAATGACCTTCCTAAGAATCTGAGAGAAAAATTCAAAACCTGTGAACTTCCCTGAAAGAGATCCAACCATAAGTCATATTTCAAGGAATTCTCTCTCCCTCTTTTTTATTTTAATTCATTCTGATGGCTTGATATCTTTGAAACAAATGGAAAGATTTAAATGGAGATCAGTGGACTTTGTAGCTCAGTTGTTTTTTTTTTTTGCCTAAGAACAGCAACAAAATTAATAGGAAAGTAATGACATATCTTAGAATTAATGATGAGTTGACTTGGCTCACAGTTTTCTTTCCTGAAGTATGTACGCTCACTTCTGCATCTCTCCTTTTTCACTTCTTTTTTACCTTCTTGAGCTAAACAACGTAAGCTGTATAGTTCTAGAGGTGGTGTTGACTATTACACTGCAACTAAATCATGTTATCAATGTATGCTAAACTCTTTGAAGGTGTCCTGTAACAGAGATCAGCTCAGCTTACTTTCACTGTGAACTAAACAAGAATGCATTAACTTGCTTTTCCCGTGGCACAACAGAGGAAGCATATTTTACTCATCTGGTACTTATCTTTTCAGCAAACCATTGTCACTAATTCCATTGGAGACAGATTTTTTTAATGGCTCAGTTACTTCTACTCATCGCAGACAGCAGATGTCTGCATTCATTACCTTTCAGTTTCGGGCCCTTAATAAAATCCACGGAAAGAATTCAGATCAGATACAGAAATTAACTGTTAGCACCTACCAACATCTGACATTTCTGGAATGCTGGCATTGTAAACGTCTTTTGTAAACATTGGCTCATTGTCGTTGATATCATGGATCTTGATGATGAACTCAGATTCCGGTTCCACTGGTCTTCCAGTTCTTCGATTTATAGCCTGGGCACGAAGTATGTATACAGGCTTTTCTTCTCTGTCTAGTCTCTTTGTGGCTTGGATGTCACCAGTGTTTTCATTGATAATGAAAAGGTCTCCTGCTCCATCTCCAGAAAGGATGTACTTAAGTGATCCATCTCCTTTATCCTGGTCTGAATGCAGCTGGTGGTGAAATGAAAATAATCAAGAAGTGGGGAAAATAAATAACTGGGACACAATTCTACATATTTCATCCCATTAACATGATGCAGGCTTGTAAATACAAAAGGCTATACACTTCTTTTAGGAAATAAGATGATATCTCATTAGGAGCACTGAATGGATGGAGTGGTATCTTGATGTTGGATTTGAAATTGTTTTCAGTATTATAAAAATATCTTTGCGGAAACCTAGGAACTTGATTTGCAGATGACTTTCCAAAGCTGAGCATATATCAATCAAATCTAAATACTAGAGGTTTAAGTGCTATTCTGTGAATATATAGGATAGTAATCTCCAACAGTTGGAAAATCTGCAGAATCATGAACTGTAGCAGTCAAAGAAAGAAAAAGTAGCCAGGACAGTCACTTCTTGAGTTCAAATTCTGTGTGCTGTGCTTTTATGACTCCGGACTATATACAAATAAGAGTGAAAATACACAAATTCACATATGCAGCAAATAAGAATCAGAGGCAGCACATGTACAAAGCCATTCCAGCACTGGCAATTAAGATATCAGTCACCTTATCCAAAGGGACATCGACCAATCTAAAACAAGGTGAGTGCAAGGGTAAGTAGAGAATGATGGTAGTTAGCATACAGCACATGAGCTTTCCCAGGAGATTTCCCTTGCTACTAAAAGTCTGCTTAGTGCACAACAAGGTACAACAGATTAAATACTACTCTGAAGGCTGTTCCTTTGGTAAAGGTAAATTTATTCCTTTGGCCTTAAAATAAAGGTTAATCAAATGTATTTTATTTTCTTGTTTCATGAAAGAAAAAAATATATATATTAAAATGACTTCTAAATTTGGGGAATCAGTGAAAAAATTCATAGAAGAAAATAGCAGATTTCTTCAAACTGTTGTTTTCATAGCAAAAACATGTTTATGAGTCAGAAGAGTTGAATTTTCTCAACTATCTCTTTGCTTTTCTTTCTTCATGCAAATATGAAAAAAAAAATATATATATGTAGCTGAATGTGTGGTGAAGTACTTAGCATTGCTGGATAGAATGCTTTGTAGAAGAGAAAGATTTGTACACTGAAAGAATATAGAGTATTATGATCTTCAGAGATTTTACTAGTGCTTGGCTATTCCCCAGGCACACTGGAAGGGCAGCCTCCAGTGTGACTGTATAGCCAATGTTTTGGTTTCCTCCAACCCTGTATTCAGACCAGTGCAATGCTGGAAGCCTATTGACAGCTACCTGGTGGCATGCTGCTACCTCATGGGTACTTATGCCTGTGGACCCTACAGAAAGCATGATCAATGCAACAAGTCCATCTTATAAGGGTAAAATTCTTTCTTTTTATAAAAAAATGCTTTTTATGTAACGTTTTTACACAAAGGTTTTTATATAAATGTTTTTATATAAAACATAATTAAAAAAAATGTTAAATAGAACAAAATATATGAACTGTAGAACAGCAAATCATTACCAGACGTGCCGAGGCACATCTCCTTCAGGGAGAAAATGGGCATTCAGTGTAATTTTGCACGGAGCCTTCCTCTTGAAAATAAGAATATCGATAGCTAGCTTGTATGCAACGTTTCATCAGGAGATTTCAAAACACTTCACAAAAGCAGTCAATTACATTTACTTTGGTTTTTTTTTTTTAATAGAAAAGAGTAGAAACTTGGAGTTTCCAAAAAGAGTGTCTTGGAACCTGGAATACAGTTCAGATCTCCTGAGTCCTAGTCAGTTGGCCATCAAACCTACAGAAATAATATGATTTACCAGAAATAGCTTAAACCTCTGAAGAATAAGAAGTCAGTCTAGAAGTCTACTGTGGAAAGTAATTGTAATTGGATATTTGAGTATAATTTTCTCAAAGGCAACTTGCAAAAAAAGTCATAAAAATAATTCTTATTTAAAAACATGTATTTTTTTTTATGACTGTCTCACATCCACTCAATTTTTGTTTGCCTTGAAAGCCACTTTAATTTTTTCTGTATCATAGTGGGAGAAAAACAGCCCTTGGTAACAGACTATCATTAATTCACACAAATCATGGAATAGTGCTGTTGTGAGACTTGTTATAGGCTGAACTCCCAAACTCATTTTTATCACTATTTTAATTAAAACTGGTTTCAAGGAACAAAGTAGCAAAAAAGGTCAAGCTAGAAGGGGTGTTGGAACCACTGGGAATTGTTTTCCCTAGTATTCTTTAAAGAGTCCAGACTACCTAAAGAGCTAAAAATGAAAACTTGTGTGATTTTTCAGTCAATTGTTTATGAAATCTCCACTCTTCTCCCACAGCTAACCTATCAGTGTAAGATGAACTGTGGCTCTTGAATATCAAGACAATGTGTACCAACTCACTAACTTTGAGAATGAAGTGATCTTCATCGAAGGTTCAATCTCTAGCTTTTCAGCAAAAGCAGTAACTTCTGAAAATAAACATTTCCTATCACAATGTTTTCTTCAGATCTAATATTCTAATACCTTCAGCTTTACCACTTTCCCAAGACATTACAGAACAGAGTGAGTGTTCAGCTGGCCAGAAAGTAAGTGGGTTATCTACTTAAGAGTCAGATCTGGGGGAGGTCATGTCCTATATATGTTATGTACAGCTAAGGCTGTCTGAGCATCTACTCATCATTCCCAACAGTGACCTTCCAGTGTGCCACCATGTGTGGCCTGAAGAACATATTTCATAAAAATTCTTCATAAAAGTATGATTATAATACTTGATTTTAGTAAATTATGATAGTTATTTAACCACTGAACATCAGGGTTGTTTTGTTTTGTTTTCTGTTTTGTTATGTGTTTGTTTTTGTGGGATAGGACAAAATCACAACACCAGCATGAACTGCTTAATAGCTAGGCCAAAGTAGTTTGAATTTTGTTCCTTTCTTTTCCAGAAAAAAAATAAGTTGTTTTTATATGTTAGAATAAACAAACAGATCTCCAGGAAAGTTTCTCATGGATGATAAATTTGCAACATTTACCTATGAGGAAAATATCTAGACAAACAATTTATTATTACAGATTATATTATCTGTGCTTGACTGTTTGCTTGTATAAAATTTTACCCAGGCAAAACCATTCAGCTTTATTTTTTCTTAAGTGTCAATTTATCTTGAAAGCAATATTTTGCTTGTGTGAGCTATATGAAGTGAGAGATTGCTACTCCAACCATGTTAAAAAAAATAATTAGGAATAAAATTTAAAAGAGGAACAAATGGTGCAAGTTTAGACCAAAAGAAGGGCCTGGAGGAGAGATGGGCTTAAAAATGCAGCTGATGGTTTTGTATATTAAACTTAATACAACTGTTATGAAGATAAAATGAGTAGTGGAAACATCCCCGCTTTCCTTTGCAGTTGATGGTATTTTCACTACCCAGACCCTTCATTTCACAGGAAGTTTGCTGTGATTAAATATGCATAGAAAGTATACTGCAAGTACTTTCAGCAGGACAGATACGAGACATCATAGTTTCACTCTTTGTATTAACTCATGTTGCAAAAGAGTGTCCATTATCCTCTGCATAAAGTTATTCATGGGCCAGATAAATGGACCATGGCAGGTAATCATGAGATAGAATAAAATATCGTAGGATGCAATATTCATGTCAGCAGGGTTGTATTACATTATAGCTCCTCGATATAAATTTAGTATGGCCAAACGTTTCAAGGCTCTACTTAAAGTTAGATTTTTTTATTTCTGGAGGAACTTGGTATTATTCAACAGCATTCATCTAATTTGGTGACTGAACTGAGCAGTACCCCAAAGGTAAGCAAAATTGAGAAGCAGTAAGTTGCAATAAAAAGCAAATGCTTCTGCAATTGAACTATATTAATATTATAGTAAATTGATTCACTCAGAATCTTCTCTGGACACTTTTGTGAAATCACCTATCAATCACTGGCTAAGGCTGAGGATGAATGACAAATTAAAGATTTTATTATGCCTTAGGCATACTTTCACTCATTTTACTTTAATGCCACTGTTACGTGAACCATCTTCTTTGCTTTTAATGATTTACAGTAAGATAAAAACCATCCAGTCTTTTTTTCTCTTCTCTCCTCGGGAACATTCTGGCTCAAGTCATTCAAACATGGCTGCTTGAAAGAAAATAGGGCCTCATTGCTCTGGTAAGAACTATACAGCTGTTTAAAAAGACTGCAAGACTACAGCATTGGCTACCTGTATTTGACTTTGTACTCATTGTCACCTACATAATTAATTTAAAAGGATAACTTTTTATTTATTACAAGGAGTTCCCCATTTGAAGCAGCCTTGCTCTTCCCAGTGTCACTGACAGAAGCCCCCAGAAGCATCAAGGGTGGTGCCAGAGGTGTCTTCTCAGCTTGGAGAGATATGTAAAAGCTGTGCTCAAAGTATTTATGCTTTGAACACTTTTTTTTTTATTATTATTATTTTGGAGTGAGTTTGTTTACAGCATTTGCGTTCATCTCCAACACACGGTATTGCTTAACTTCAAAAGAGCTCCAGAAAAACTTTACCAGGGTTTCAAAAATTGAATCAGGCCTATGCTACATAAATTGGAATTATTTGAGCAAAGTGCGGAAAAAAATTAAGGGTGACTTTCATGTAATTTTGTAAAAAGATTATAAACTGAAATGGCGTGAAAGCAGCAGATCAAACTGGCATTAAGTAGTGCAATTCATTAGCGTTTGTCTTCGGTGTTCTATGCTACAAGAGCTGTACTCTAAAATGTCAGAGTATGCATAACAGAAGTGGCATCGATGTGTTTCAATGCTGGTGAGGCCAGGGGCTCCCCGGGTGGGCCAGGAGGCACCATGTAGGCAGGGCCTTACCAAAAGTAGGGCACCAGGGGTACAAGCATCTTCCTCAGGGCAAGGCTGTGCTGTGGACCCACAGGTCTCTGGATGGGGCTGTGAGGAACTGGAGCTCAGCTGTTCAGCAGTCTTGCCTGAGCAGGGGTAGGTGGAGCTGGAAGGGCCCATTACAAACTGTGCTAAATTCACCTTGG